TTCGTGTTCATGCATTATTAATTTCTTTTGAAATTGATTGTTTTTAACGGTCTGTGAATACGAATATATGAATATGTCCCCCCCCCCTCCCCACTTATCGAGCTGACTACGCCACTGATTCAGAGGCAATTTAGTCATTTTAGCCCGCAAAACTCGTACGCCACAAACGCCCGCAAATTAAGTTGTCTGACCAACAAAATCGTCTGTAGATAATCACAGTAAAATTTGTAAAATTATGGGCCCAATAATTAACAATTATTGGCCGAAGGCGAGGTGAATATCGCTGAATAAAAACCGAGACGAAGTCGAGTTTTTTATTCAGCTATATTAAGCGAGCCTGAGGCGAATAATTGTTTTAGTATAATTACAAAGGTGATTATTTGAAAAAATAATATAACGCATCTCAATCTTTTTCGTACGGCGGTGACTTTAGCTTTCTATATCATGCAGGGGCGCATGTTTTTTTGTAGGAATTTCCATCACTTTTTCTTATAAAAACGTAGAATTTTAATAAACATTTGTTTATTCCGTCAATATTCATGTCTTCAAACTCATTTGTAATTCTGACTGTCGCTGAAACAAATCTGTTGTAGAAAAAACTTTTTTTACAAACGTTAAAAAATGTCTAAACTATTGTACGGCGACTTAAATAAGACTGTGTTTTATGCGAAATAAAGTAAAGAATTCTGCAACGTAGTTTCCCATCTCAAAATACTTTTAAGCCAAATTTTAGGTACAGTATTTTCTTTAAAATTAGTAACTTATTTCTTCATCTGTCACTTCGACGAAACCACTCGCCGCCATTTTGAAAAAAGGCTTAGGTGATTATCGCGTAATAATCCGAGGTCGCTTGACCAATCAGCGGCCACAATTTTCGATAATCACCTTTGTAATTATACTAATAGACATTAGTATAATTACAAAGGTGATTATCGAAAATTGTGGCCGCTGATTGGTCAAGCGACCTCGCATTATTACGCAATAATCACCTAAGCGGGCTTTTTTTTTCAAAATGGCGGCGAGTGGTTTTGTCGAAGTGACAGATGAAGAAATAAGTTACTAATTTTAAAGAAAATACTGTACCTAAAAGCACGAAAGAAGTGACAAAATTTGGCTTAAAAGTATTTCGAGATGGGAAACGTTGCAGAAATCTGTTTAACTTTATTTCGCATAAAACACCGTTTTATTCAAGTTGCCGTACAATTTAGACATTTGTTTACGTTTGTAAAAAAGTATTTTCTACAACAGATTGGTTTCAACAACAGTCACAATTCACGAATGAGTTTGAAGACATGAATATTGACGGAATAAACAAATGTTTATCAAAATTCTACGTTTCTATAAGGAAAAGTGATGGAAATTACTACAATAAAAGCATTCTTGATGGCGATATGAGCGGCTCTGGATATAGAAACCTAACGTCACCGCCGTACGGAAAAGATTGAAATGTGTTATATTATTTTTTTCAATTAATCACCTTTGTAATTATACGAAAACAATTATTCGCCTCAGGCTCGGTGATTATCGCTGAATAAAAACCTCGACTTCGTCTCGGTTTTTATTCAGCAATATTCACCTCGCCATCGGTGAATAATTGTTAATTAAAAAAGGATACAGGAAAATACACATTTTACCCATTTCTATCCCAAACATGTAAAATCCTCCAGTTTTTGGACACAGTAAACAAAATAGGGCTGACTAAGTGAGTTAACTAGCTATATTTTGCATTAAGCTAAATAATTCCAAAAAGGGTAGCTGAATAATTGTCAGTGTCACAAATAGGATTTGGCTGAAAGAATAATTTAACAACCACGAAAGCATTGGTAGCTAAGGCTATAAATAGAGCTCGTTTGCATTAATCTGAGATTAACCCATTGAGCTGCTGCAATGTGGTCAAATGCGGCCTACTTTATTATTTCATTTTGTCTAACGTCAGATGATTTTACTTATTGATGGGAGAATCTAGCACGCTAAAGGGATTCTTTAATGGGATTCGGTATTTTCACCGATTGGTGCTTCGGGGAATGACTTTTAATTTCGTCTATTGGACGGAGTGTGAGATGTGATTTCAAAATTATTCAAAAAAACCTTTTTTTTGGGGGGGGGGGGAATACCTGATCGAGCACTTTTAGACGGATAGATTGCTAAACCCGACTAATAAGTCCCTGATCGCGCTTAAAGTGTTAACAGGATGCACTGGTAGACCTTGATGAGTAAAATCTCCTGATGTTCGGCAGAGTAAAATACTAAAGTAGGGCTCATCACACCCACCATCTAATTAGTCTCCAATTCAAAAATTGAAGCCGTGATTGCAGTCTTAGGTCGTTCCAATGAAATGAGAAGATTCGCTTGTTTTCCATTTCTTAAGCAGGGAACTTAAACATTACGTTAACTCTATTCCAAATACATTTTTATACTATTCAAATGATGAAAGTTATTGTTGTTTTTTAAGCGTTAATTAGCAAGTGGGAACGATCAAATGGGGATAACCGCTGGAATATTCTTGGCTTCAATTTTACGAAAAGAGATGCGCTATCTAGTGTGTATAAGATATCTATGATCACCCCTTATTAAATGGTTAAACTTTGATAATAAAGTTTACTTGCAACTTTGGATTTATATCGAGGTGAAATTTTTGTATACCTGCAAACAAAAGGTACTCAAATTGGAAACTGGTTTGAACCAGTCTGGTTTGAACCAGTTGTTTAGTAGTTTACTTCGTCATGCAGTATTTGGACAAATCAAACACAAAAATAGCATGGAGCCATATTTTCCTTTTCTCGGGGTAAATCAGGCTCTCCTCACAGGGCAGCGAGATCTTGGTAACTGGACGGCCCAGTTGATATATATATATATATATATAAATACAACATAGTTTGTAATTTTCTGTCATAAACTACACAGATCTTGCTAACCAGCCACACTCATTTTGATGTAGATAGCCCTTAACTGAAGCAAAGTAACCTTTTTACTGAAGTAATGGACACATATATATAAATGATAGTATCTATCAAAATTCCTCACAGCTTGAATAATTAGAAAGATTAAAATCGAGGCTCAAAAAATTTCCTAATTATTTCTATACAATTATTTCAATCAATACCTTCATTGAAGATTTCCTCCAGCCCTAGATAAGCCAATATCAATGACATTTTAGTCAATGAGGTCCTTCAACCATACGCAATTCTGAAAGTATAGTGCATGTCACAGGCTGTCGTCCTTGATTAACCTATACAAGAAGACTAACAAATATAAAAAAGTAAGGTTGTGGTTGATGGAAATTATCGAGTGTTCAGTATCTGTCAATGGGTCATTCCAAATAATATTTGCACCCCCCCCCCCCGTATTGAAGGGTCTGCATATCCAATGGGGGAGGAGGGGTCTTCATATCCCTCAATAGGAAAGTGCCTATATTGATGGAATTTAAAAAATGGCAAAAATTAGGTGTCTTAGTGTTATCCAAGAGGGAAAAACGAAGTTTAAGTTTAGATAGCGTGAGATAAAGATTAGATTATGGTTAGATTAAGATTGTGTTAGGGTTAGATTAAGATTATGTTAGGGTTAGGGCTCAATATGTGTCGCGAATTTATTATATTGCTAATTTCGGACGTGTTTAACAATTTACTCATATAATAAATTCAAAGATGGAGCTCAGGCTGAATTTTTTATATCCGAAGGGGATAATGAAAGGACCCCTCAATAGGAAAGTGCCTATATTAAATGGAATAGCTCTGGAATACATTCTAATCCCAGACAGTTATAGTTACATTCGGGATGCACCAACATGCTGTTTAATTACATAAAATGCATACAAATTTCTATACAAATACATGAAATGTATATAAATTTCCAGTCGATAATTTCCATCAACAACACTCTTCTACTACTATTTGAGATGCCAACAAAATCCATAAATAAGTATACAACTACATTAACAAGTGCAATTGCGATCCTTTAGCCAACTGTCAGATCGCCAACGTCTTGGGTCGATTCGCCAACGTTGGGGGAAAATTGCCCCGGACCCCCAGCTTAATAGGGCCCCAACTCGAGAGTGAGAGCCTAAAATTGAGTAGGTTCTTTAAATTGATCGGAGAATTTTTTAAATTTAGTGACCCTTACAATACCTCCACATGCAGTCTAGCTAAGGTCTAGTTGAGTCTGGCTTAAAACTAATGATGGAAGATTTCCCCCGGGCCCCGCAAATTCTCTCGGCAGCCCTGCGCTAAACAAGTAATTTTTATTGGGCCTGAAACTCACGAAATATGTGAATGTTTTTATGCATGTTACCATTCAAGTAAACACAACTGAAGAGTTTTCAATCTAAGAGCAAACAATACGAATATTAATCATACTCTGAACTAACAGAATTCCGCAATAGATCTAAGAACAATAATCAAAGACGCTCAACGACACCCACGGTGATTAGTCACGGCTTTTGAATATAAGGCACAGTGTATTTTGAATCCTCGGATCACAATAGACTAACATTTTTGTGACTTGAATCACCATATAGAAACAGTAATAGAATCTGGAGATTAAAGTCAACTTTTTGGCAAAAATCCATGGATGTGTACTTTTACTACTTAAGGTTCGTGACAGCGCGTTCACACGCAATCATTTCCGAAAATTTTCAACAACAATAACGGTTTTTCCTTTCTGTCACCAGCTTATCTGATTGTGTCCATTTGTAAACTTTTTTATAAATAAATATCCATTGGTTGCTGTTGTTGGACTAATTTGCGCCAAAGCATTCATGCAGCATGAGTCATCATTGAAAATCGCTCCATCTTACGCAGTCAGTTTTTTGTCTGTTTTTCACTTTTGTTTGTGCAGAATTCTAAATAGAATACAGAAAAGTCCAAATACATAAAAGTCCAAACATATTTATTCGCATCTCGTTGGATGCTGATATAACACTATAGTGTCGCTTACTGCGGCTCATCAAGACTCGTACATTGGCTGCAAGAAACTTGTCAGAGCAAGACAAGAAGGCCGCCATTGCGACGGCTGGGAAAGGTGGAGGTATTCTGAGAAGAGTACAGAAACGCTGCCACAGCTGGGCAGTGGGGTGGACTGCCTCGATATCAGTACATTTCTTTTGCCAGTCGCAGAAAGCACAAGAGCCTTAAGGCCAAGAAGGCAACTATATTTTCTGTATTATATTAAAAGTTTCCATGCATGGAGTGGGTAATTAGGCATTTTATTATCAATCTCAGATGTTTATAATTATACTGCATTTATAGACTGAGTACCGGACTCACAGCAAATGAAGCTCATATTTTATTACGTTATTTATGGTGTGATTCTAAAGCCGCCGTTACACTGAGGGACTGGTCATAAAGTAACTGCTAGGATGGGCTGGAGGTAAATCACAAATTTGGCCAATAAGTTTGGTGACCCATCTTGGGAAGTAGATAAGAATTTCAAAGCTCATCTAATCTTACAAAATTTATTTCATGACCCACTCACCCAATCGAAATTGGGAAAATGCACTTTTATAATAAAAAACCTTGCAGGTATGAACATTGTAAATATACACCGGCACTGTTTTGGCATACACTGTACATAATTCTACGAAGCTTGACCAACACATTCATCACCAATTACGATACCGAGCTGTTCTCCATTTGGTTGTATTTCCTGTGATTCGAGCACTTCTTGTTGTTGTATAAAACAAAGTACTGGCTTCAATAGCATCATTTGCATTTGATAATTTGGATAGTTTGGTTTACTTTTCGATTATTAATATCGTTATATACACTGCAAAAAATCAAATTCTAGTCTAGAATAATATTCTTATTTTTTAGATTATTTTTCTTATTTTAAGTAAATATTTCTTATCAAGAAATATTTCAAGAAAAAAAATCTAGTTTTAAGAACAAAAATCTTAAAATAAGAAAATATAACTGAGCAAGAATATTCGAGAGAATTTTTTTCTTATTTTAAGA